GAAACTCAAGCAAAATATTGGGTTTGAGGGAAAGGTAGGCAGCTCAACTGAGTGAAAACAGATTGCAATAAATATCAGAGGTAGGCAGAGGCCTGTGTGGTAATACAGTGTGATCGAGCTTCTTCGGTAACAGGTGGATGGGCCCCACCTCATTGTTTCTGATTCAGTAGCTCTACGATGTGGTGCAACCGTACTTCTAAAAGAGCACAAGGTGATGTCCACGTTGTGCCAACTTTAAGAACCTCTTCTGTGCTCTCAGTAATTCGTGGCTGCCCAAGAGGAAATACAGCTGGGAGCTGTTTTGGAGTCCTGAGAGCTGAGCACACATCAGAGTTACCCAAAGAGCTCTAGACACGTACTCCAACCTAGACAGCACAATCTGTTTTGTTTTGATTTTAATTAGCTGATTGATTCCTATGAGCCAACAGGCTGAATCTACTCTTCAGCTCTTTCAACTCTTAAATTAAACTCTAAGGTTTTATGTAAATGCTTTTTTTTTTCTTTTTAAATGTATTTTATATAGAGTCTCACTATGCAGCTAGGTCATGTAGTGATCCTCCTGTTTTCAGCCTCCCCACTGCTGGGATTACAGGCTTGTGCCACCATGCCCAGTCTCGGTGGCTAGCTCAGTGTACCCAGGGGCAGGGCTAGTCTATCATGTGGTGCAATGGAGTGAACCCCAGTCCTTGTACTTGCCTGAGCAGGTGCTTAGCCCCGTGAGGTGTCTCACCAGCCCTAATCTCAAGATTCTTAATATCACTTATGCAAAGTCTCTTTTGCCATACAACATTCAGTTGTGAGTATTTTTAGGGGCTTTTCTTACACTAGGATAATTAGATAGTCAAGGAAATCAGCCCATTTTTACCAAGCATAAATTCAGGATGCCAGAAATGACAATGAAGTAGAACTTTAGCTTTTAAAAGTAAGGGGAAAGTCTACAAATCTCCCACTTTCCTTGCTTTTGATGTCTATCTTTTATTTGCAGTAACAATCTCTCCATTTGGAAGCATGCAGATGAGCTTACAAGCTTGGGCTCTCATTGGCTTTGCCGTCGATGACACCTCTGTCATGTGAGTTGCAATGATAATGGCTTCCTGGTAACATTTCACAAACACAAAGGGCACTTTTGTCTGAGACACTGGATGTCTTCTGTGTGACCTAATGATGCTCAGAGAATGGAAACTTCCCGCTCACAACCTGCCAAGGCTGCCGTTCTGGATGTGGGTAGTAGAAACAACCAGGAGGACAGATTTGTTACTCACACAGACTTCTGAGTCCCTGGCTGCCAACCAGCTCTCCTCACACCTGCAATCACCCAGCTGCTTGTAGATATCTTTGTAGATACCCCCAGACGCTATCTCCAGAAGGCAGATTCCCGACCTCAGTGTTCCCTCCCAAGCTTGGATGCCTTGAAAATGAACTCTTCTTGCTTGCAGAACCTGTTGCCTCAATGATGGCCACAGCAGCTCAGATGGGTCTGGTTTAGTAACACATTGAGCGTTCCAAATGCTGTCTTGCAGTGTCAAAGGGAAATTACAGGTTTTGGTCAAATACCAAGAAAGAAATACAATTTCTTGCCATCCTTATACACAGCTCCCAAGGTTATGACTTGATTTTAATTAAATACAACAGAAATTACAGTAATTTAGCAGGATCATCCTGAAGTATTCTTTAAGCTTTATATTTTTGCTCAGCTGTTACTTCCCCAATCATTGCAGGCATTTTTTTTTTCTATTTCAAAGGTAATATTAAAGTTGTTGGCCAGGCACGATGGCACATGCCTGCTGTCCATGGGAAGCTGAGATAGAGAAGGAACATTGAGACCAGGCTGTCCTGGCCTTGTTGAGACTCTGTCTCAAAAATAAATAGAGGGCCGGTGAGATAACTCAGTAGAATAAGTGCCTGCCTGGTAAGCACAGGGTCCTGAGTTCAATCCCTGATAACACAAAAAATAAAAATAAAAGTGAAAAAAATAAATAAGAAAACAAAACCTTTAGTAACATACTTGTTAAAAATTTGTGCATATTTGATCTTCTTAAAATCAATTACTTGGGCTGGGGAGAGAGCTTAGCAATCTAAGTACCTGCCTGGCAAGTGCAAAGACCCAAGTTTGGTTCCTGGTATTGCATATTGTGCCAGCCCTGGAACCCCGGCATGGGCATGCCATGCTGGCCCCAAAACTGGGCATGGTGGCATGTGCCTGCAATCCCAGCGCTGGGGAGGCTCAGACGAGAAGATCACTACAGGTCTGAACTGTGTACTGAGCTCCTGTACCAAATAAATCAATATTTTTAAAAATTGAATGTATGACTAGAGGCAGAATAACTTGAACAAGGTTTTGAATATTTTTAATATTTGGGTGACAGTGTACACTATTACACTTGGATGAATCTTGTAGGAACAGAGTCATTTCCCTGTACTTTTACATGTGCTATCATTGGGAAGAAAATTGTCCCTGGCTGACACTACTAACTCGTCACTGCTTTTGTTTGCTTTTTTTATATTTATCAGAAGATAATAAATATCTCTTTGGTTACACTGGGGTGGGAAGCGCTACCTGGAAAGCATTCTTTCCTCACCACCAAGTTTTAGCCAACTTGCCAGATGAATTTCCACCCCTTGGACTCCCTTTGCAAGAACATTCTCTTTGTATCAGATTCTAAATCAGGAAAGAGAAAAATGTTATGCACTTGAAGTTAGGAGTCTGGTTATCTGGGCAAGAAGGAAAAAGAGGGGAAGAGGGGTGATATGTATGCACGAGTCCACTATCAAATTCTGGTGCTGTTTCTCGATGCAGGCGATGGTTATTTTATTGTGCTCATCTTACAGCTATATGTTGAATTGTACACTTGTGATTTTTGCAATTTTCTGCACATGGCATATTTGACCTCCAGGAAATGTAAATGACATTAAAATACTAGCCCTCCCCTAGCTGGTGAGCCTGTCATATAATGAAAACACACAAACCCAACTGCAGTCTTGAGGCTGGCTTCCATTCTCCTGTGTTCTCATCAAAGTGGTTTCTCTCCCTACAAAGGCAGGAAGGGAAGAAAGAGTCTTTCTCCCATGTCATCATTCCTAGGAACTTACAGTTCTAGAGAATAAGGCTGGGGCCAGGCAACAGTTGACTCAGAAATACAGATCTTAGATCTTGTGGTTTCTGGGCAGAAAAGCTCTGCCCTTCAAGTGAGATTAAGTTGAAGAATTAGTTGTGCTTAAATAATGCTTGGTAAATATTTGTTGAAATTAAATGATCAGGTGTGGCAACCTATCTCCAAAGCTGCTGCTTTTACCTGCATTCAGTAACGCCTGTTTAAAAGAGACTCTTCTTATGTAATTATCCAACAACATACAGACCAGGATGTGCTCATCCACAGCATGAGGTAACATGCCAAGTGTGTCACGGGCCTGGTGCATTCGCTGCCTGGACATCAAGTAAGCCAGTGTTTGGAATCTCCAGACAACTGTGAAGCCCCGAGCAGGAGAAAACAGGGAACGGCAGCTGCTGGGGCCTGATGCTAGCACCCTCTGCAGGTTATGTAACAGCTGTTGTGTAATTGTGCATTTAATTCGACACACGTTTTTGAAAGGGCAAACAATTAGACTTACCAAAAGGAAAAGACTTAAGGGAGAAAATGAGAAATGTTGTAAGGACACAGTAAGTCTTATCTGATCTTCAAGGAGGAGCTTCAGGGATTTTGGAAAGTAACTGCTTTAGAATCTAGGGGCCTGGCCCATGCTGTAAAATCTGGCCTGCCTTCAGCTTTTCTGTAAATAAAATTTTATTGAAAAACATTTTCACTCATTGTACACAGTGTCATTTACACAAAGTACAAAGAAGTTGGAACAGAAATCATCTGGCCCAGAAGCCTAAAGATATTTATTATCTCTCTCTTTATAGAAAAGTGTGTGAATTCCTAACTTAGATGGAAAAAAAAGTGAAGCTTAAGTTTTTGAGAGGGGGGCAGTTCACTTGGAGAATCAAAGAGGCTGCTTCTTGACCCTGTCTGAGATTCTTCCTACAAAGCAGAAGCTCACGGTGAATAAGAGTCTGGGCTTCAAAGTCAGGCAGGCCTGAAAGGAAACTGAAATTTTGGCCTTGTGATTAGAAGTGACTGACCTTCTCTGTATTTAAAAAAATTGGGAGACCAATTGTGGCAGGGAAGAAAACTGAGACTCCAATCCTTACTTCAGGAAAATTGCTCTGCATTTTTTAGTTTCCCTACCTAACTCTCATATTCAGAGGAGCTCCCAAGAAATTATTGCTAATTCAGTATAATCAGAGCATCCAAAGAATTTTATCTTGCTCCTATTAGAACTTTGGCTAGAGCCTCAGTACAAGAAAGCATTGTATTTCACATGAGAAATGTTCCCTTTACAGTTATCTGTTTTGAAAGTTCCCAACTTGAACACCAAGAATTTGATTTATTTGAGAGTCCTGCTTAAAGTTTTTGTATAATTGTCTATAGCAGTGATTGATAAATATAAACACATTTCAAAACCAGAGGTCCCTTTCTGCTGTGTGAGCTTCCACAGTTAACGCTGCACATTATGGACCTTGGTGGCCCGGCGCAGTGCTGTGTGTCAGTGGCTTCTGCATTCCCTGAAAGTCCTGCTGACTTTTCTGTTCCTAAGTAGAAACTACATACGACTTAGGGCTTCTGAGATCACTGCAGGTGCCCGCACCTAGTGCTGGGAATACAGCTGCATGACGAGGCTTTTTAAAAGCTGGCAGAGGGTAGTGCCTAAAGGGCCCTTATGTCCCTCTTATGCCTGGTTCCCTGGAGGATGGGCCAATCTGCTGCTGGCCTTGTCCTGAGACGCCTGGTTAAGCTTCTCGTCCTTGTCCTTGCCATCTTCTACTGAGAACAACTGCCTTTTGGGACTCTTTCAATTCTCAGATTCTCTGATTCCAAGTCTGTCAGAGAACAGAAAGTTACACAGCAGCATAAAAAGCCAAAAAAAAAATAATAACTGGGTTTAGTGGCCGGAGCAGCTGGGCTGCATATCCTTATCACAGCTTTCGGCTTTGTAAATTAATTCATCTGCAAATAGTGCCCCTTCTCCAGATGCAGCTTCAGTGTCAGAGTGCTGGGTTTTAAGGATTTAAGTTTAAAGTCAAAGGCTTCCTGCTGTAGGTGTTACAAAAAAGTGGTGTCCTTTCTTTTTTTGCTCCGGGTCTGTTCACCCAATCATATCCCAATATGCAAATAAATGTTAGCGAGTGTGCAGATAAAAAGGAACAAATAAAGCCAAGTGCTGTATCAGAATCAAATTGCTGAGCCTGTCACCTGTGCTCCCGGAGCTGAACCAGAAATGTTGTCCTCAGCAAAGCCAGATTTACCTGCCCCACTGACTGATTTGAAGATCCAGTATACTAAGGTTAGTACAGCTTCTGCGTGCTGCTTTGCCTGGGATTTTCCTAAGGTTGCTCTGAAGCATGAAAAGATCAATTTAACTAAACTTATGTGAAGAGCCCTTTGCAAATATAAAAATAAAGATTTGTTTAAAATACAGGTCTGGCTTTGGTGTCCTAATCAAATAATAAATTCTAAATCATGTCAGACAACCCTTCATAAATTTCTCATAATATTTCAAAGTAAAAAAAAAATATTTGAGAGTGGAGGAATCTTCTTCTATGTTCAATTCTCTTGTACCAGAATTCAGTGCACTTTAGTAAACAGTTTTATTAACTCAGTGTGGTCAGAATACATGATGAGCGAGGCAAATATTCACTAGATTAACTTACTGGAAGAAGCCACAAAGTTAGAAATATGAGAGGGAGGGAGGGAGAGAGGGGGGAGGGGAAGGGGGGAGAGAGGGAGAGAGAAAGAGAGAGAGAGAATAATGTAATGATGTAACTTTTCCATGTGGTTCATACAATGGGTGTTAATTCAGAGGACTTAAATCTGATAATTAGATGAAAGCCATTTTATACAACTTCAAATCTGCTTCTACCCTTCTACTTAATTTGGTAAAGCAAGCATGCTTATTTATTTCCGCAGCCCAGTTTGTTACTATTGCAGCAAACATGTAATTGCTAATGATAAATATTTGGCGAAACAAGGGCAGGAGCCAGACTCAGGCATCAAAATCCACACTGAGGGAGAACCAAGAAATAGATCTTGCTGGAGTTGTTCCGAGGGTGCCTATCCACTTTGCTCATTCACAGTTCCATGCCTGCGTTCCAGTCAGATGGCAATACTGCAAAACAGAAAGAAAAGAGAAGAAGAAACCAACATCACACCAGTCTAAGCCAAATCTTAAGGTTAGCTTTATGGTGTGATACAGCAAAGTAGGAACTAAGCTGTTGCAATGTACTGCTTGCCATTTTGCCTTCTGAGTTAGATAATAAATCTACTGACAGCATTCAACTTACTAACATAATATTCTCAGATATTATTTGCTTATTTTCCACCTGCAGTGCTGCCTGGGTTTGAAGTCCTAACTTCTGTTGCTTTTATTTAAGTAAGCACAACAAGTGAGATAGATAGCTGCTCAACTGACTGCTCCTTTCTCTTAGGAAAATTTTCCAGGCAGAATTGTGCCTTTTTGCATGGTAGTCTTGAAGCTTTGGACTATATGAAGGTACAGTACACAAGGATTTATAGGAGAGTAAATGCTTTTCCACCAAATTTTATAGTTAATAGGGTGACAAAACATGTAAATGACTCCAAATAATTTACATTTGAAAAAGTTATGCCCAAAACCTCCTAAGACTCCAGTCTTCTTGACTTTCTTATCCAAAGTTTGCTCTTCACAAGCAATTTCATTTCTAATTAAGTGTATTTAAAAATACATTTCCTGATGACCAAAATTGCAGGAATGGCTTTAACTATCCCACCGCAGTTACTAGAAGGAATATAATTTTCTATAGCACTACCTGAACAGGTATTTTGATCGCCTTGATGTGTCCTCACCCTTTATTTAATTTGATTTTTCAGAGAGGTTTGAAAAGTCTTTTTTGTACTCCCAGGCAGCTCTAATGTGGAATAATCTTTTACACGAATCATACTTTATTAAGCAGCTATTAACTTGAAGTATAAATAACAGCGCAAGACAAATGAGGTATTCTTTACACTTACTATACAAGCTCAGAACTAATGATTGCCTAGTACAAAAAGGTGCTTTTGCCATTGAAATCTGTGGGCCTCCAATTTAATGCACCACCACATCCTTCTAGGGAAGACGACTGATCGCAGTGTTCAAAAGAAGACCAGATAGAAAGGACAGGCACTTGCTCTCCATTGAAACACTCCTCTGCAAGGACTGCATAATGCAACTCGCTGACTTTGGTGCCTCATGCATCTTTTATGTAAACCCAGTATGTTCAGATAGCATTTTATTGTTTGACTTTATGGGTTACTCTTTTTTTCACACTTGGGAGGACACCAGTTATGCATGTGATTAAGTCTAAATAGATGAGCTTTTTGAAATGCCTTTGCATGTTCCTCTCTGTTTATCCCACCAATGAATTATAGTAGATTTGCACTTATGATAAGAGTTGGAAAAATGTTGGCTATGAAGTAACTTTCTTGTTTGCAAAACAAGTAAAGAATGGTTTTACAGTGATTGAGGAATTCTCTTCTCTGATCAGCCTCTAAACTTCTGTATTATTTTCTTTGTTTTAATGTCCTTCGTTGTTATCTCTAGAAGTATATTGCTGGTTGGAGCAAAGGAAAGGGAACAGACAAACAAGGTTGAATACAGAAATTTATAACTATAGTTAGAAGAGCTACACACTCTTAAGCTGGAGACTGCTTTTCAAACAAAAGACTTCCTTGATGCATATCTTTCAAAGACTTATTTTCTAGTATAGTCAGATTATTTCTTTGTTGGGATAGATGAAACAGAGATTAGAGTTTAAGGAATATTTTCTAAATTGATACAAAAGCTTTGGGAATTTAAAACCTCAGTAACACAAGCCTACATGAGCTTGGATAGCAGCCCTCTCCTCGCTGTTCTCCTTTCCAGTTGTAAAGGGATCTCACATCTGCCAACCCATCCCTGGTGTTGAACTTTCACATGAAGAGCTTCTTTGAAAGTTATATGACCTCTGAGCAAACTACATTAGCTTTCTCTGCCTCCTTTTCCTCACAAATAAAATACAGATTATCAAGATATGTATTTCCTGAGGTTAGTGAAAATATTATAGTAATGGGATGTAAAGCACTTGACACAACGCCTGCCACATGGGAATGGTTGGTTCCCATTAGCTGTCTTAGTCTGAGTATTTTCCTGAATGCTTTCCAGCTTTTCCAGAACCTTCGCTGGTCCACCTTCCCTGTTTCCCACAAGCACTCTTCCTGTTTCCCCGGATTCTGATCTTTCCTCTCTCTAACTTACACAATTGCGTCCCATCTGACAAAGGTTGCGCTGGAGCAAAATTCAGAGGGTTTATCCAGGATTTCAGGCTCGAGTGTTTCCTCTCACAGGATTTGGTTATTTTGCTTTCCATCTTTCTTTCTCCATACTGTTTTTACATTCAAAATTAAAGAGACAAATAGGATAGGGTTTGAACCCCAAAATGTCCAATATGGTTATTAAACTTAACTAATTAAGCAGCGTTTGTTCATGGCAAAAAGAAAAGTATTCTTCAACTTACGACATTTTATACACACATACACACAGAGAAAATAATTATAGTTAAACTGCGTGGAATTCACCTTGCCAGTGACTGCTTAAATTCATTAGAATGATTTCACTGCTGTCTACAACAGCCCTGTGAAGTGACTACTATTAGCTTCTTACATACGAGGGGACAGGAACAGAGCATGTAAGTAACGCACCTCAGGTTACACAGCTAGTAAATGACAAAGCTGGCCTCTTAATGGTGGCAGACTGAGCCCTCACCCTAGGAAGTCATTCATCTAGGGTCAGTACCATGAATTTGGGGCATGGAATTGCCAGGTTTTGCTGCGTTTACTCTGACTTTCATCTGCCTGCTTGTGATTACTGGATGATGCTCGGCTGTGAGCCTTTCCAGCTGCTGCTTGGCAGCTCCCAGGCCAACAGTAGGACATTTGCCACACGTTCAGAAAAGAAAGGACAATGGGAAGACTGGAAGGAGGTGGACTTTCCACTTTAGAATTCGGCTTGGGGAAAGGCTGTGAGGAAGAGTTACACATTTTCTCTAAATTTCTTCAACACATATAGCTTGAACTTTGGGTACAGTAAACCACTACTTTCTTAGATTTCTGGTTTGACATTTCTGTTTTAAAAATATGTTTCCTGCCTGAAAAAGTTATTTGTCAGCAAATACTATGTACCAGGCCCAAATTGAGCTCTTCTGTTTTTTCTCCACAGTTCTCTGTTTTTAAATTTTTCTCTAATAGACAAATTCAAGCCACATGCATTTATAAATACCCCCTCTTCACTTGTTCCTCCTATTTTCTCTTTTCCTTTACCTAACAAAGTTGTTTAGTGAGTGCTCTGTGCTAGGTATTATGATACATGAATGCTAATTTGATTTTTTTATCAGCCAGAGATTTTATTCATAGAAGATATGGATGGCAGAAAGCAAACGAGTAAGGCAATACTTGAATCTCAAATCATAAGTGCTAAAACAAAGAGAACTAAAAGCTGAAAAGATATGACAGATAGAGCTCACTCCTGATGGTGTTGTTAGGAAGAATCCTTTTAAGAAAGGGGCATTTGAGGTTAAGTCCACTGGGTGCTAAGAATAAAGTAACCACGTAGAGTAGGAAAGGACAAAGATCCAGGGTAACAGAACATACACCACCCTGTATACAATGGCTTGTTGTGTTTGAAGAGCTGTCAAAAAGGCGAATAAGACGGTGGTAAAGTGAGAGGAAAGGCACTTGTGAAAGGAGGCTACAGATGCATACAGGGGTCCTCTGAGCTGGCTGATGGAGTCTGTTTGAGAGACCCACTTTGGGGTGCTTACCACAGGACAGGATTTCTGTTCCCAGGAAAGCTGAGTGCGCTGTGGCATTGCTTTCAGTTGAAAGATCTTTTAAACTTCTGACTGTAGAAATATTTTGTTTGCCTGGGGCTTAAAAGCAGCTGAACAAGTAGCTGAATGTCTGGAGGGCAGTAAGTAGCATAATAAGATAAAACTGGCTTCAGTTTCCTGTTCTTCTACCTGTTTAATAGTATGACCTTGGCCAAACTTCTAATCTCCTCCAGCATCAGGTCCCCTATCTGTCAGTTGGGAATAATGATGGCCTTGGAAGGGGCTGTGAGAATTAAGTCAAATAAATCATGAAAAGTGCCTAGAACTTGTTGTCTAATTGGTCCCCAATATGATTCTCTGAATTCTGAAATTATTCAGGTCCCAATGTTAATGAACTAGCTTGTATTACTGGCACCATTCAAATTGATTCCAGCTACTTTTCTCAGTGGAAGCGCATAATGAAGCT